ACCCACACCTACACCACCCACCCACACCCACACCCACACCCACACCCACACCCACACCCACACGCTAGCGTGACCAAGTCTGACCATATCCAAGCCTGAGCCTGACTGAACTTAGCCGTGCCCAAGTGTGAACCTGACCAAGCTCAAGCCTCAGCTGGACTGAACCCAGTCGTGCCCAAGCCTGAGTAAGCCCAAACTATTCGTGGTCGGTACACTCCCTCCTCGCCCTGGTTAGACGACATTTGCGCGCGCGACATTTGCGCGCTGACACTTGCGCGCCGACGTTTTCGCGCACGACACTTGCGCGCATGACTCTTGCGCGCAACGATACTTATGCGCATCGACATTTTCACGCAAGGCGCTTACGCACACGACTCTAACACGCAGGGTGAGATGTGGGTGTGGATGTGTGTGTAGGGTATCGGTGTGTGATGGTGTTAATCTTCTCCTAACCTACATATCACGCCCACACACACCTACACTCCTACTCCTATCCACATCCGCACCCACATCCATATTCACACCCACACCCACCTTCGCACCCACGCCCACACACATTCCACCCTGCGCGTTAAAGCCGTGCGCGAAAATGTCGATTCGCGTAAGTGTCGTTGCGCGCAAGAGTCATCCGTGCAAGTGTCGTGCGTGAAAATGTCGGCGCGCAAATGTAACGTCACGCAGTTCAGTTGACTTTCAAGAAGTATGTCAAGATATTTTAGTACCCTCTGTCATTAGTTAAGAAACGCATCTTGATCTAAGTTCGTGACCAGAAAAGATTTATAGTCTGTGGTAACAATTAACGTCTACGTTTCTTTTGTTCGTTGATGAATATTCTCCAAAAAGCAGTCTATTTTCCATTTTCAAAGAAAAAAGCTTACTTCTTTTTTTCTAATATTTCCCATTATCCCAAACCATTTTTGACAACAAGATTTATGTTGTGTGCAATGCATGAAAAACGTTCACCTGGTTTCATATCATTAATTGCTTTTTTAATATCACCATCATTGTCACTCACAATAGCACATATTTTATCTTCAATTTTTAATTGTTTTAATTCATAAAGAATAAATTTTTTGATTGGTTTTGATCGATGAGATCAAAAAGAAACCGACGAAATCCTAATATAAGTGGAATTGATTCATAAGTTTTGTTAAATGCTTGGCCAGTTAAACATATAAAAGATATTTTGTTTTTTGTCCATGTGTCAACGGTAATAGCAATAGCATCTACACGAGCAAGTGTTGTTCGAAGTTGTTGACGATATTGATGATAAGCTAAGCCAAGACGACTACGAACTATTTTATGACTAGGGCCATGACTAGAAAAGACGTATGTATAACATTATATCCATTATCAAATTATCTGATGTATTATAAATAATTTGCTTTGTTTCTATCGATTCATTAAGAAATCCAAAAATTTAGAGAGTAATTAACGTCACATAAATGTCACTTTTGAATCAGCTTGCTATTTATTTCATATGAAAGTTATATATTTATTTCAGAATGAGTTTCAAACTTCTAATATTTGAACTAGAAACAATTGTAAAGCAGTAATTTAAAATACTAAAGAAAAAAAATTAAATTAGAAATTTAAAGTACTTCTATTCAATATCTGTACTAACTACAACAGTCAAGTTTTGAAGTTGGTCAAATCACTTTTCTATTTTATTTTCAAGTAATGTCGGTGCCCAGATTTCTAAGCATTACTTTAGTTGGATATTTTGTAGGAGAACAATGATTTTTATAGACAAAGCTTGTTATGTGACAGATCTATGTGAAATAATTGAGTTAGCATTGAATATACATGCCGTCATTGATTCATGCTGATACGATCTATAAACTGATTTTTTTGTCAGTAGTGTAGTCTAAAATTCGCTTTTGAAGAATTTTTTCATGTATTTTCGAAAAATGATCACTTGGATAATTCTTAGACTTGATGCAAAAAGAGGTATACAAGTTCTCGAATCAATTCTCAGGAATCATTTGTTGTGAGTTTCCTATATATGCTCAGGATTGGATATTTCGTTTTATGAGCACTATAACAACAATATATGAAATGAAATGAAATGAACCGCCTATCTTTTAAGCATGTTCAAAACTACGTGGGGCACTCCAAAAGTTTTTTCGCCCACTTCTTCTAAAAGCCTTAGTTTGGGTTCAAGTATTCTATTATAATGCTTAGACACATTTAGGATTATTAACAAAATTTCAGCCTTATAAGTCTTATTCTTTTGCTGTTGTCCATCATTTCTTTTACGGTAGGTACATGCGGTTTGCTAACTAATGAATCGTGACAGGTAGCAGAATTTTGCATCTCATATTTCGACCCCTAATATATTTTATTTAAAAAACAAAATATACCAAGAGATGCAGCGTAAATAGCTCTATAATTTACACAGGACAACAAATTTTACAGTTGCATTTTTAGTGTTCAAAACTTGACAAAGTTCTGAACAATAAAAGGACGGGGGCGCATATGACCGTAATTTGGCCCATTGGACTTTTCATACTATATCCAGCACAATCATATATAGGATGAAAGAGCTTCAACTGGCGAGTACTTTCCAATACGTTTGACGACTTCCTACCTTATGATTTCGAATGATCTTATTACGAATACATAGTAATTACATGACAACCTTTCAGATTAGTTTTCTCTATATAAATTCAAGAAAGTCAGCTTCAATTATACACCATCGGATAGCACTTTTCACGGGCTACAAAACCATATAGTTTTTAAAATTATTAAAGGTAGGTCCATCAAAAAGTTGAAGACCACAAAGTAAAAATTATGCCCAATTTTTACATATCGTACAACATATTTGATTAATTATTTTCTTAAAACTTCGTATCAGCCAACTTCAATTATACACCACCGGATAGCACTTTTCATGGGCTACAAAACCATATAGTTTTTAAAATGATTAAAGGTGGACCCATCAAAAAGTTGAAGACCACAAAGTAAAAACTATGCCTATTTTTACATATAGTACAACATATTTGATTAATTATTTTCTTACAACTTCGTATCAGCCAAATCCAATTATGCACCACTCGATAGCTCTTTTCACGGGCTACAAAATCATATAGTTTTTAAAATTATTAAAGGTGGACCCATCAAAAAGTTGAAGACCACAAAGTAAAAATTATGCCCAATTTTACATATAGTGTAACATATTTGATTAATCATTTTCTTAAAAATCCGTATAAACCAGCTTCTATTTTAGTTTATCGGATAGTTCTTTTCACGGGCTATAAAACCCTATAGTTTTTAAAATTATAAAAGGTGGGTCCATAAAAAAGTTCAAGACAACAAAGTAAAAACTACATCTATTTTTACCGCTCATTAACTGATGCCACCAATCGTACTTATTCCGACTAGATTTGCAAAGTTAATCTCCCATTCTCACACGCCTTTCGGTCTTAACCGCTACATACAGTCGCAAGAGAAGTGACGTGACCGTTGAGTACTTACAATCACCTTCACGAATCCAATTTTCGCACACAGTATTGAACTTTTGCTTCATGAGGCACAATAGAATACGTATTCTCAAACAATATAACACTGATAGATATGTGACCCTTTTTTTCAATTTAACAGGCAAATGTTCTTAACACTAATTCTGATAAAATAACAATGCCTTTATGTGTTTAGTATTGCTCTTAATCGTATGTTGTTCGCCCTTTCACGTATAATATGCGTTCCTGCTGGTATGTAGCTCCATCGGTTTCTTTTTCTCTTTCCTTTCCTATGATTCTCACCGGTCCCTTGCGTATCCATTTTTGTGTACTCAAAAAGTAAGTACACTCTAGAATCGGTCAGTGTGTTCGTCCGGCCGGCCGTCCGTTTACACGATAACTTTTGAAAGGAGAGTCTGATTGCGATGAAATTTTCTACCAGTGTTGGGTAACTCCGGAGTTAACTCCCGTAACAACAAGGAATTTTTGGTACAACTCCATAGCAACCGTCGGAGTTGTAGATCGTTCTACTATCGTCTATTTAAGCACAACGTTGTAACTCCAATTTTTGTCTCACGACTTCGACCTAACTCCATCGGAGTTGAGTGGAAAAAGCCGGAGTTGCCCAACACTGTTTTCTACACAGCTTAGTCTCAACAATATCTCGGTCGAGTTCGAAGATGAAAATGATTGGCCGAGCCATTGCTGAGTTATTGCAAAAATAGTCATTTTTCCCTATGCGAAGATCGATCTATCTCCGCTTTCGTAAAAAACTTTTCGTATCATAGTCAAATAAAACCCCAACTATTATATACCATTCGATAAAGAATTTCACGAGCTACAAAGTGGTATATAAAATATAAGGAAACAAGAAAGCCAACTCAGCTATTGCAAAGATAATTAAACGGAATTCGGTTCTGTTTTTGTACACGCTCTAATTGATCCACAAATAGAGCTCTATCTTTCGATCACAGAGATGATAGTTCGAGGTTTTCTGGGGTGGAGAACTCGAATCTGTGCTCCATTCGCCTCGAAATCCCATTGGTTGAACAGTAACCAATAGAAATCAAGTTATAGGAAAAACGACTTTCTTAGGGTAAATCAAGGTGAAGAGTTCAAATCTTCTCTGTGTTCATCCCCAAATCCTATTGGTTTAGCAGTAGCCAATAGAAATCAAGTGTATATAGTTAAGGTTTGCCAGGATAATTTTTATATCCCCATATTCTAGAACGACTCATCTGTCTCATTCACTTTTTGAAGTACACATAACTCTCGGATTTGAATCCGAGGTTTCCACATTTATTTGATGATAGGGAAGAAAAACAATAACCAAGATTTCTCAATTTGTTTTTGACAGACTACGTCTACACTATGTTTTTTCCGCAACCTGTTTTTCTGTGCATGCATGATCACCAAGCATAGTATTAAGTTCATTCAGACAGTATCAATAGTAGATTGGTATCAGATGTAACTATGATTCATGAGCTTCTGCTTCACAAATTCCAATGACAGTGTGTGAATATGGCAATATTTAAACGAATGTCTTTGCAAAAATCGTATGGTTTTTTAAACGAAAGAAGTAAGATCTAAATAATTCTGATCACCACTAGAGCGATGGAGCCAATAGTCGTCATATAATTATCTAATATAATTATAATAATCTAGATGTCAATGATAATATGAATCTTGTATAACAATTGATGCCGCATCTGACTTTTGGAAAAAATAACAAAAACAGGAAACGGTATCACTCTTCTTACAGAGTTACAAAAACAATATGTACCTATCTCATTATAGTGTTTCCATTTTTCTGATTCCAAAAATACTAGATTTTTATAGCTGACAGAAAAGGCTATTCGACAAGTTATAACAGGAGTTGACTTAAGAAAGTTTTTGAAGGAATGGTAAATCAAACATATTATACTATATGTAAAACTAAGCATAGTTTTGACTTTGGGGTCTTGAACTTTTTGATGGGCCCACCTTTAATAATTTTAAAAACTAAAGGGTTTTGTAGCCCGTGAAAAGAGCTATCCGGTGATGTATAATTGAAGTTGGCTGATACGGAGTTTTAAAGAAATAATTAATCAAATATGTTGTGCTATATGTAAAAATAGGCATAGTTTTTACTTTGTGGTCTTCAACTTTTTGATGGATCCACCTTTTATAATTTTAAAAACTATATGGTTTTATAGCTCGTGAAAAGAGCTATCGAATGGTGTATAATGGAAGTTGGGTGGTACGAAGTTTTAAGAAAATAATTAATCAAATATGTTGTACTATATGTAAAAATAGGCATAGTTTTTACTTTGTGGTCTTCAACTTTTTGATGGGCCCACCTTTAATAATTTTAAAAACTATATGGTTTTGTAGCCCATGAAAAGTGCTATCCGGTGGTGTATAATTGAAGTTGGCTGATGCGAAGTTTTAAGAAAATAATTAATCAAATATGTTGTACTATATGTAAAAACTGGGCATAATTTTTACTTTGTGGCCTTCAACTTTTTGATGGACCCACCTTTAATAATTTTAAAAACTATATGGTTTTGTAGCCCGTGAAAAGTGCTATCCGATGGTGTATAATTGAAGTTGGCTGATACGAAGTTTTAAGAAAATAATTAATCAAATACGTTGTACGATATGTAAAAATAGGCATAGTTTCTACTTTGTAGTCTTGGACTTTTTGATGGACCTACCTTTAATAATTTTAAAAACTATATGGTTTTGTAGCCCGTGAAAAGAGCTATCCGGTGGTGTATAATTGAAGCTGACTTTCTTGAATTTATATAGAGAAAACTAATCTGAAAGGTTGTCATGTAATTACTATGTATTCGTAATAAGATCATTCGAAATCATAAGGTAGGAAGTCGTCAAACGTATTGGAAAGTACTCGCCAGTTGAAGCTCTTTCATCCTATATATGATTGTGCTGGATATAGTATGAAAAGTCCAATGGGCCAAATTACGATCTTATGCGCCCCGTCCTTTATTAAAATCTGAAATTTTTCAATATTTAAATGATGAATGGGCGACAACTTTATATTGTTTACTTGAATTAAAACAAATACAAAAGAAAAATAAATATTTACAATTGTGTCATCAAATTCAATTTACAATATCTTCAAAAAATGATTTATCAATATTTCCTGAATTTCATAAACCTTATGAAGAATTAAGAGAAATTCTTGATACATGTATTAAAGATAATACTAATGAAAATCAATGGCAACTTTTATTAGATTGGATTGAATTAAAACTTAATTCTAATTTAATTGAATTACAATTAAAAGAAATTAAAGTTATGTTATTATTAAATATTTACTATGAATATTATTGTAATAATCAACTTTCATCTATTAATACATTATT